ATGTTTAATTTCGCAATTAACTTCTCAATTGTTTTATCTTAACTCATTGCCATGAATTTTAAATCTGAAATCGTGAATCAAGATGGTGTTTCTTCTTAAATCTGAAATCGTGAATCGTGAATCTCCGATAAAGTTCTCACTGCCATCTAAACTGAGTTGTCTTTGGAGATCGACATAGTTAACTATGTTCAAAAATCTTTATAATAATAAGTAACTATGTTAATGATATATAGTTAACTATATACATTATTTTTTCACTATAATAGGTAACTATGTATCTTAATTATGTTTATGGTAATAGTCAACTATGTATATAATTTTTTTTATTATAATAGGTAACTACGTTTTAAAATAGTTAACTATATTTGTTTAAATAACTAACTATTACAACAACATTTTCATGTAGTCAACTATGTATTCAAATCAGTAGAGTAAATTACTATACTGTGAAAATAGTTAACTATATTTTGAAATTGGTAACTATTTTTTGAAAATAGTTAACTAAAAGACAGTCACAAATAATGTGATATAGTTAACTATGTTCTGAGATGTTTTTAAAATAGTTAACAATGTTATCAAATAGTTAATTTTTTATAGCATATTTATTTTATTTTGTCATAATTTCAACCAAATAACACATATTTACTTTTTGTAGAGATACAATTCCATGAACAATTTTTCGAATGATGAAATCAAGATCAAGAAAATGTTTTAGGAACTTTTATATATATATATTTACCTTAATTATAAATGTAAGGGTAATTTCGTCATAATTTTGATTCTCTCTTCTAGTTATCTAAATATATTTTAGGGCATGTTACTTACCTAATTATAGGTTTCAAAAGTAATATTAAGCTAATTAACCCGATATAATATCATGGTTTAAATGTGTACATATAATAGCATGGCTTAAATGTGTACATGGAACCTTGATTTGAGGATAAAAGAGTAACACATTCTTAAAAAAGAATCCTAGTTCATTTTCACATGAGACCGTATGAAATTCTCGACCGGATCAGTGAATTAGCTTACATGAAAATAGGATGCAAGTTTAGATGATCGAGACTAAAGAGGATGAGCAAATGATCGATGCAGATTCAACGACAAATTTATTTAAAGTGAGGAAAAACTGTAACGATCTGAAACAAGAATAAAATGTACTAACCAAAATGTTTTATTTTGTGGAAGGAGAAATATTGACCAAGTGTTTGGAACTCTTCTAAGCATTTTTTTCGTGAATTAAAAAACTGAATATTTGACCAAGTGTTGAATGAGTTACTCATCGTGATCGGGTTGAGTGGTTCATGAAAAATGGTTTCATAGAATTGGTTCGCTAAGAAGGAAATTCTTAGTCTTGTTCTATTTAAGGAAGGTCGGAAATTAACCACCAGTCGATCGGGTACTCGTACAAGGAAAAAACTAATTCTCGAATGAACAGCTTAAACCTCATTACTCGGAATTCATTTGATGAGTGTTTGGTAAACTGAGAATATGTAATTCAGTTATGGAAGGTTCGATATATGCGTAGTTCGAGTACATCTTCTGATCAAGTTACTAATTAGAACTTTTAAAACCTTACGCAATAAAAGACACTGATGTTACAAGGTTTCCATATATATTATACGTAAGGTATGCCACATAAACTACTATTTTCCGACAACACTTTTATTTAGAGACTCGGATTATCCAACCCGACAGCTATTGGGAACTAGACTCGCTTTATATAAACCAATCCAACCCACTTATCCATGTATGATATRTATATATACCCAAGCKTTCTCTAACATAACCAAACATAAACCAAACCAGTTAGTACATAAAAACTTGATCCCAACCAAATAAAATCCAACTAAGCTGATAAATTTTAATTGTGTCGATCCGGTTGCATATYTATATATATACAWTGGAGCATAACCAAACCGGAGCACACACCGCACTAAAGTTGTTCCACCCATAGTYGTACGTCGTTGARGATGAATATCGATCACATGATTGTGCAGAAATGAGGGTTTTCATCATTGAACATAGAACCAGTGTTATCATTGATAAGACCCGAATAAGGCTTTTCTTGACGGTAACCATTCTCGTGTCCGTGGCTTCCATGCTTGTAGTAGTTGTAATAACTCACTTTCTCACCATTCTTGGACAGACTGATTCTTTTGTGAAACTTCTTCTTGAAGTATCTGTCGTTGAATCCATTAGATTGGGGGTTGTAAGGGAACGACCATAGACCTACCTCTCTCCCTCCTGTAACACTCCTTACAACTTTCAGAACCTTCTTCTGCTCTGCCCAACCCGTTACCGTTACTTTCTGCTGCTTCATGTCTATCTGAACATCGTCGACTCCTGTTT